TCACCCTGGGTGAGTGTGCCACAGATTCATGGGAAGGCCAAAGCCACTGTACCCTGGGTGAGTGTGCCACAGATTCAATGGGAAGGTCAAAGCCACTGAATCCTTGGTGAGTGTGCCACAGATTCAATGGGAAGGCCAAAGCCATTGTACTCTGGGTGAGTGTACCACAGATTCAATGGGAAGGCCAAAGCAACTGAATCCTTGGTGAGTGTGCCACAGATTCAATGGGAAGGCCAAAGCCATTGTACTCTGGGTGAGTGTACCACAGATTCAATGGGAAGGCCAAAGCAACTGAATCCTTGGTGAGTGTGCCACAGATTCAATGGGAAGGCCAAAGCCATTGTACTCTGGGTGAGTGTACCACAGATTCAATGGGAAGGCCAAAGCAACTGAATCCTTGGTGAGTGTGCCACAGATTCAATGGGAAGGCCAAAGCCACTGTACCCTGGGTGAGTGTGCCACAGATTCAATGGGAAGGTCAAAGCCACTGAATCCTTGGTGAGTGTGCCACAGATTCAATGGGAAGGCCAAAGCCATTGTACTCTGGGTGAGTGTACCACAGATTCAATGGGAAGGCCAAAGCAACTGAATCCTTGGTGAGTGTGCCACAGATTCAATGGGAAGGCCAAAGCCATTGTACTCTGGGTGAGTGTACCACAGATTCAATGGGAAGGCCAAAGCAACTGAATCCTTGGTGAGTGTGCCACAGATTCAATGGGAAGGTCAAAGCCATTGTACTCTGGGTGAGTGTACCACAGATTCAATGGGAAGGCCAAAGCAACTGAATCCTGGGTGAGTGTGCCACAGATTCAATGGGAAGGCCAAAGCCATTGTACCCTGGGTGAGTGTGCCACAGACTCATGGGAAGGCCAAAGCCATTGTACCCTGGGTGAGTGTGCCACAGACTCATGGGAAGGCCAAAGCCACTGTACCCTGGGTGAGTGTGCCACAGATTCATGGGAAGGCCAAAGCCACTGTACCCTGGGTGAGTGTGCCACAGATTCAATGGGAAGGCCAAAGCCATTGTACCCTGGGTGAGTGTGCCACAGACTCATGGGAAGGCCAAAGCCACTGAATCCTTGGTGAGTGTGCCACAGACTCATGGGAAGGCCAAAGCCATTGTACTCTGGGTGAGTGTGCCACAGATTCAATGGGAAGGCCAAAGCCATTGTACCCTGCGTGAGTGTACCACAGATTCAATGGGAAGGCCAAAGCCACTGAATCCTTGGTGAGTGTGCCACAG